ATGTGTCCCTTGTTTTGAGGTGGGTCTCTTGTAGACAGCATATATAGGGGTCTTGTTTTTGTATCCATTCAGCCAGTCTTTGTCTTTTGGTTGGGACATTTAACCCATTTACATTTAAGGTAATTATTGATAGGTATGGTCCCGTTGCCATTTACTTTGTTGTTTGGGGTTCGCGTTTATACAACCTTTCTGTGTTTCCTGTCTAGAGAAGATCCTTTAGCATTTGTTGAAGAGCTGGTTTGGTGGTGCTGAATTCTCTCAGCTTTTGCTTGTCTGTAAAGCTTTTGAGTTCTCCTTCATATCTGAATGAGATCCTTGCTGGGTAGAGTAATCTAGGTTGTAGATTATTCTCTTTCATTACTCTAAGTATGTCCTGCCATTCCCTTCTGGCCTGAAGGGTTTCTATATTAAAAAAAAAAAAAAAAAGAAACATCAAACAGGAACCTTGGTGAGCTAAGGAAACACCTACAACCTTAGGGATAACAGTGCAATGGTTGCCTTTTTCATCTGCATGTAAGGCTTTGGGTGACATTTTTTAAAAAATCAATAGCTAGAATGTAAACTAATAAATAAGGAAGGAATGTGGAAATAGAAAATGGTTTATTACTGCTCAATAAATCTGAATAAAATTAAAATTTTCTTATAATATTTTGATGATTTTTCTTTCAGTTTGACATTATGTCAAAATAACAGGTATTAAAAAATAAGTTCAATGAAACTAGAGGGATACATATAAGGCAACTGAAAGAAAATAAGAAAAATTCAATAAATGTAAAGTTATACCATGTGCATGAATTGGGAGACCTAATACTGCAAATATGATAGCTCTCTCTAAATTACTTGAATGCATTCACCATTGTGAAATGAAAATATCTCCTGCCATATTAGCCATCAGCAATTTCTGGCCTCCAAATGTGGAGGAGAGCTCCCCAAACTATGACCCAGTGGTGCTGCCACCCCCCCACAGTGATTGCTGAGGAGCTGGGGGAACGCAAGAAGCAAGGTGAACAAGAAAACAGTGTTGGCCCCAGATAGCCCCAGGTGTATATGAAAAGAATGAATTCAGCGAACCCAAAGGCTTGCATCTTCCCATACATAGGATGCTAAATTCCTTAACTTGATACCTTATCTTTGATTTTCAGATCTTCTGCTCCCTTTGTTGCAAACTTATATATAGCCAGACTTCCCCCTCCTGTCTCCTTGGAGCAGTTTTCTCAGAGCTTCTGAGATGCTGTCTCCCAGGTTCAGTGTCCTAAACATTCCCATCAAATGAAGTAACTCTCTACTTTGAGGTTGTTACTGTATTTTTTAGTCGACACCATCCAACTATCCTTTGACATCATTGATTAGTTTTGCTAATCTTTGGTGTTTGTGATATGAGACTCCTAGATAATGATCTATTTCAACTTGCTTTTTCTTATTATACTTGTGAGATTCATCTAGGTTCTTTGATGTTGTGGCAGTTTATATATTTCATTCAAGCATACAATTTAATTGTATGTATATATATGACATTTTACTTAATCATTTTACAACCATTTGTATTTAAACTGGTCCTTGTTTCAGTTCAGTTCAGTTGCTCAGTTGTGCCTGACTCTTTGTGACCCCATGGACAGCAACATGCCAGGTTTCCCTATTCCTCACCATGTTAGATCCAGATACTTGAGCTGATGGACTCAAACTCATGTCCATCGAGTTGATGATGCCATCTAACCATCTCATCCTCTGTCATCCCCCTCTCCTCCTGCCTTCAATCTTTCCCCCAGTATCAGGGTCGGTTCTTCGCATCAGGTGGCCAAAGCGTTGGAGTTTTCAACTTCAGCATCAGTCCTTCCAATGAATATTCAGGACTGATTTCCTTTAGGACTGACTGGTTGGATCTCCTTGCAGTCCAATGGACTCTCAAGAGTCTTCTCCAACACTACAGTTTAAAAGGATCAGTTCTTCAGCTCTCAGCTTTCTTTATAGTTCAACCCTCACATCCATACATGACTACTGGAAAAACTTTAGCTTTGTCTAGATGGACCTTTGTTGGCAAAGTAAAGTGAAAGTGAAGTCGCTTAGTTGTGTCCAACTTTTTGCAACCCCATGGACTGTAGCCTACCGTGCTTCTCTGTCCATGGGATTTTCCAGGCAAGAGTACTGGAGTGAGTTGCCATTTCCTTCTCCAGGGGATCTTCCCAACCCAGGGATCAAATCTGGGTCTCCCTCACTGCAGGCAGATGCTTTACCCTCTGAGCCACCAGGGATAGCTCTGGTAAAGTAATGTCTCTGCTTTTTAATATGCTGTCTAGGTTGGTCATAGCTTTTCTTCCAAGGAGCAAGCTCTTCTAATTTCATGGCTTCAGTCACCATCTGCAGTGATCTTCGAACCCCCCAAAATAAAGTCTATCACTGTTTCCATTGTTTCTCCATCTATTTGCGATGAAGTGATGGGACCAGATGGCATTTTCTTAGTTTTCTGAATGTTGAGTTTAAGCCAACTTTTTCACTCTCCTCTTTCACGTTCATCAAGAGGCTCTTTAGTTCTTCGCTTCCTGCCACAAGTGTGGTATTGGATATCTGAGGTTATTGATATTTCTCCCAGCAATCTTGATTCCAGCTTGTGCTTCATCCAGCCCAGCATTTGCATGATGTACTCAGCATATAAGTTAAATAAGCAGGGTGACAATTTGCAACCTTGACATACTCCTTTCCCAATTTGGAACCAGTCTGTTGTTCCATGTCCAGTTCTAACTGTTGCTTTTTGACCTGCATATAGATTTCTCAGGAGGCAGGTCAGGTGGTCTGATATTCCCTTCTCTTTAAGAATTTTCCACAGTTTTTTGTGATCCACACAGTCAAAGTTTGGATTATCACAAATAATGCTATGGGTATCATTGTGCATTTCTTTCAGGGCACACCTGTATATGCTTCTAAGTGTAAAGGCTGAACCACAGGGGATGTTTATGTTCAGAGTCAGTTCTCCAAATTGTTTTAGCACTCTGTATTCCCAAACACAATGTGCAAGCATTCTAGCTGCTTCATTCCCTTAACTCTACTTCATGTTGTTAGTCTTTTCAGTTTTAGTCATCCTGCTGCATATTTGGCGGTAATATTTGTGATTCTCATTTGTAGTTCTCTGATGATTACTGATGTTTAGCACCTTTTTGTATCTATTTTGGCCACTTGCATATGATTTACTAGGTTCTGCCTCTTGAAAAGAGACTCATTCTACTTCACTTTACAAGTTCACCTTTCTCACTAGAAACTTTCAACACATGCACTGGTCTCTCTGCAAATACTCTCTTCTGTTCCACTGGACAATTTGTGTGAACTCTCACCTCTGCTACACTCCCAGTATCCAGAAATGAAAGTCTTTAATTGAGTTCTTCTTTAACTTTGCAGAGTTGTTCTAAGCCCTTGATATTTCCACATAAAAGTTAGACTCAGCTTAAAACTGTCTGTTTAAAAAAGAGTTGGAATTTTGTTTTGGATTATATTTAACAAATATATCAATTTGCAAATAATTGGCATCTCGAAAATACTGTGACTTTTAATCCTTGAATATTTTCTGGTCTTCTATTTACTTAGATTTTCTTTGAATAATATTCTGGAACTTTCAGTATATTTCCTTAAATATTCAATGAATACCCACCAATGTAAGTGAAGTGTTTTATCCTAATTTTTTCAGAATTTGTACCAGCTATATAGAAATTAAATTTATTTTTGTGGACTGACTTTGAATATGGGGCTTCTCCACCTCAGTGGTAAAGAATTTGCCTGGTGGGCTACAGTCCACAGGGCCACAAGAATTGGACCAACTCAGCAATTAAACCACCAACACAGAGTTTTAATGCTTTTGATTTCCTAAATCTTTTATTAATTGTAATAGTTTCTCTTCTCTGTAGCTTATTTTGAATTTTCTCTGCACACAGTCTTACTTGTGAGTTATGCTAGTTTTACCTCTCCCTTTCCACTCCTTGTTCTCACTTGTGGTTGCTGCCCTCTGCACATGCCAGGAACTTGAGAAGCATCCACTCGTGAGGGTCTGATCTTATGCTGTTCTTGATGACGTTGTACCTGACTCAGGTTGTGCATCTTGTCTGAAGAAAAATCAAGGAATCTGAGTCCAAACCTTGTCAATAAGTAACTATTCAGAACTTAAGGATTTCCAAATAGAAGTAGAGATGTGAAAACTGAACAGTCACCACAGCAGCTGCCTATAAGGGGAGCAGCTGGTATGTCAAGTAAACACTGGAAGGTCTCACAGAGGTTTTTGTATTGTGTTGAATCACTGGATTCCCGCTATTATGCCAGCACTAGGAATGAACTGCAGCATCTTCAGGCTCCAGGCTGCTGATGGTGAGAGTAAAGTCTGTCCCTGACCCAAATGTCACTGAACTGGGCTGGGATGCCAGAGGCCCTGCTGGAGGCAGCATAGATGAAGAGTCTGGGGGCCTGCCCAGGCTTCTGCTGGTACCAGTCTAAGTAGCTACTAATACTCTGACTGGCCCTGCAGGTGTGGATCCTGCAGGTGTGGGCCCTGCAGCCTCCCAAAGACAGGGAGGCTGGAGACTGTGTCAACATAATTTCTCCCATGGTTTGAGATTGGAAAAACAAAACAGAGAAGTCACCTTCTCTAGATCATATCTAATGTCCTTCCAGCAGATTCAGGATCATTGATCTACATGTGTGTGTGCTCAGTTGTTTCTGTTTTGTCCAACTCTTTGTGACACTATGGACTGTAACCCATCAGGCTCCCCTATATATGGTATTCTTCAGTAAGAATACTGGGGTGGGTTGCCATTTCCTCCTCCAGGGGATCTTCCCAACCCAGGGATCGAACCTCAATCTCCTGCACTGCAGGTGGATTCTTTACTACTGAGCTACCGGGGAATCCCCTCATTGATCTACATCAAACTTTAATTCTTATACTTGTTCAGGAAAGCTCCCAGGAGGATTAAACAACATGGACAAAGTTTTCAGGGACCTGCAGAATTGTCTTGAGTTCCTCTCACCTGGGAGCCACAGTAACAAGAGGAAGAGAAGCTGAGCTGGGGCTTCCATAATCGAATCAGATGCAGATCTTCCCAGGGCACTGACTCAGGCATAGATATGGGGTCTGGGCAACAGGGTGGGAGGAAAATGCAAGGCAGCTGGGATGGGAGAGCTGGGCTTCCAGATGCAAAAACCACGTGCCTCCTCTTCTCTACACTTGAGCAGTCCACCCCCAAGTGGTCATGTCACAGGAGGATATCAGCCTGAAGAAAGAATTTTTCTCCTGTGGTCACATAGGAATTTCTGTATGTGGTCACATACAGAATTTCATTGTTGTATTCTCCTGTCTCACCCACTCCCTAGACTCAGCCCAATGGTATTTGGCATAATCCTACTGGAAATAGAATAGAAGCCCGTGCCCCATTTCTATCTTCCTACCCCAATATGCCTAGAAGTCTCCTTTGGTCCATGGTCAGATCATGTTGAAATGAAACTTGATCATAGTTTTATATTTCAGATTTATCTTTTATCTGATGCTTAGCAATCATCTAAAGCCACCTTAGCATGGTTAGAATCAGTGAAAAGTGACATCCACTTGGGCCCAGCACACCGAGCACAGGGATGATGAGCAGGTCTTTCACATTCTCATCAACACAAATAACCAGTAATTATGGGATGTGATGGATGCATTTACTAAATTCATTGTGGTCATAATTTTCAAATGCATATGTGTTTCAAATCACCACATTGCAGAACCCAAACTTCCACAACATGATATGTCATGCTATCTCAATAAACCCAGAAAAAAATCATCTGAAGAAAAGTCGGTAGTCATTCATGATACAACCAACAAACAAGGAACAATGAAAAATTCCATTAATCTGATAAAGTTTCTTCAATGATCCTATAGAAAACATTACACTCAGAGATAAAATATTGAAAATTAACCCTTCAGATTGGACAAAAGAGAGGGCTGTCTACTCTCACCTGTGCTGTGTGCTCTGTTGTGTCTGACTCTTTCATGACCCCATGGACTGTAGCCCACCAGGCTCCTCTGTCCATGGCATTTCCCAAGCAAGAATACTGGAGTAGGTTGCCATTTTCTCCTCCAGGGGATCTTCACAACCCAGGGATTAAACCCACGTCTCCTGCATTGGCAGGCAGATTCTTTACCACTAAGACACCTGGGAGGCACTTACTTTCACCACTTATGTTCAAAATCATACCTGAATGTTCCTGGCAGATAAAACAAGGTAGACAGCAAAATAAAAGGCACACGTTTGGAAAGAAAGAAGATAACTATCTTATGATAACAAAATATGTACATAAATTGTTAGTGAATCTAAAATAAATCACTATAAATGACAATGTAGCCAAGTTTCTGGATTCAGTGTCAATATATAAATATTTATCCTGGATTAAAGAAGATTTAAGTAAATGGAAATGTTTCCATGTTCATAGAGTATATGACTCAATATAATTTTTTTTCCAAAAAATTGGTGTATAGAAACAGAGCAGTTCAATAAAAATAACCAAGGATTAGTTTAAAAGTTAACTCTAGAATTGTATGTGGAAAGTCAAGTGACATAACACTCAAAAGAATCTAAAAGAAGAAAATAAAATAACAAATTAATACTACTAGATTTATAGACTTACAATATCTACAGTAAGTGACACAAGGCCTATTTACAATGGCCTATTGTTTACAATGGCCTATTCATAAATGGCTTCCCTGGTAGCTCAGACGGTAGAGTGTCTCTCTGAAATGCAGGAGACCCAGGTTCAATCCTGGGTTGGGAAGATGCCCTGGAGAATGAAATGGCAGCCCACTGCAGTACTCTTGCCTGGAAAATCTCATGGACAGAGGAGCCTGGTAGCCTACAGTCCATGGGGTCACAAAGAGTTGGACATGACTGATCGACTTCACTTCACCTTCACTTCATTCATAAATGGGAAGCTGCTCACTCGTGTCTGACTCTTTACGATCCCATGGAATGTAGCTTACCAGGCTTCTCCATCCATGGAATTTTCCAGGCAAGAGCACTGGAGTGGATTGCCATTTCCTTCTCCAGGGGATCTTCCCGACACAGGGATCGAACCCAGGTCTCCCACATTGCAGGCAGATGCTTTACCATCTGAGCCACCAAGGAAGCATAATTGTCAAATTTTGAAAACAACAAAGATATCCTTTAGTAGGCTTATGAATAAACTGTGGTACCTAAAAACCGTGAAATATTATTTGGCACTAAAAAGTAATGGTTTAACAGCCATAAAAAGACATGGAGAAAACTTAAATTCATATACTATGCGAAGGGAGCCATCTGAAAAGACTATATATTGGATTATTTCATGTATATGACATTCTGGAAAAGGCAAAACTATGGAGACAGTTAAAGATCTGTGATTGTCAGAAGCTGTGGGGAAAGATAACAGGTGGAGAATGGAGGAACTTGAGGGCAGTGAAACTAGTCTGATGATACCATGATGGTAGACACATGTCATTATAAATTTGTCCAAAATCATAGAATATATGATCCCAGCTGTGAACCATAAACTATGAAATTTGGGTGACAATGATATACCAATGTACATTCATCAATATTATGAAATGTACCACTGCAGGTTGGTGGGGGAGGGTTGAATGAATAAAATTGGATTATGTTGTGCATGCGTGGAGCAGGGTATTTATGGGAAATGTTTGTACATTTGCTAATTTTTATAGGCACCATCAAGGCTATATATTGTCACCCTGCTTATTTAACTTATATGCAGAGTACATCATGAGAAACACTGGGCTGGATGAAACACAAGCTGGAATCAAGATTGCTGGGAGAAATATCAATAACCTCAGATATGCAGATGACACCACCCTTATGGCAGAAAGTGAAGAAGAGCTAAAGAGCCTCTTGATGAAAGTGAAAGAGGAGAGTGAAAAAGTTGGCTTAAAGCTCAACATTCAGAAAACTAAGAAAATGGCATCTGGTCCCATCACTTCATGGCAAATAGATGGGGAAACAGTGGAAACAGTGGCTGACTTTATTTTGGGGGGGCTCCAAAATCACTGCAGATGGTGACTGAAACCATGAAATTAAAAGACACTTACTCCTTGGAAGGAAAGTTATGACCAACCTAGACAGCATATTAAAAAGCAGAGACATTACTTTGTCAACAAAGTTCCATCTAGTCAAAGTTATGGTTTTTGCAGTAGTTATCTATGGATGTGAGAGTTGGACTATAAAGAAGGCTGAGTGCTGAAGAATTGATGCTTTTGAATTGTGGTGTTGGAGAAGACTCTTGAGAGTCCCTTGGACTGCAAGGAGATCCAACCAGTTCATCCTAAAGGAAATATTCATTGGAAGGACTGATGCTGAAGCTGAAACTCTAATACTTTGGCCACCTGATGCGAAGAGCTGACTCATTTGAAAAGACCCTGATGCTGGGAAAGATTGAAGGTGGGAGGAGAAGGGGATGACAGAGGATGAGATGGTTGGATGGCATCACCGACTCAATGGACATGAGTTTGAGTAAACTCCAGGGGTTGGTGATGGACAGCAAGGCCTGGAGTGCTGCAGTCCATGGGGTCAGAAAGAGTCGGACACTACTGAGTGACTGAAAACTGAACTGAACTAATTGGGACCTAAAATATCTCTTAAAAATAATATTTACAAAAAAAATTCTTTCTTGGACTATCTAGGGTAACTTTACCTCATAGGTATGAACCCTGATGCCACATTTCACACAAAGCAGGTATAACCATCTCTGACTTTAAGTCAACAGAGACTTTTTCAAGTCTCTACTGCTGGGGCTGTGAGAGAGAGAGAGAGAGATTTAGAGAGGAGGTTTCCCAGCCCTTCTACAAAATCTTCCATTGATCTTCAAACCTGGGTGCATTTGAGAAGTGTTTTCAGCAGATGGAAGCACCCAGAGCAACTGGGGCAGCCCATCCTCACACATCTGCTCCCCTGGGTGGTTTATGTTCTGGTCTGTAACACTGTGGGAGGTGTACTATCATACTGCTGACAGTAATAAGTTGCAACATCATCAGCCTACAGCCTGATGATGGTAAAGGTATAATCTGTCCCAGATCCACTGCCACTGAACAGGGATGGGACCCCTGTGTGCAATCTGGATGCATAATAGATCAGGAGCTTAGGAGCTTTCCCTGGTTTCTGTTGATACTAGGCTAAGTAGTAGCTAACACTCTGACTGGCCTGGCAAGTGATGGAGACTCTGTCTCCTAGAGATGCAGACAGGGAGGAAGGACACTGGGCCATCTGAAGGTCACACCTGGCACCTGAGATTAGAAACATAAAAACACATGTCCACAGGATTAATCAGGTTACAAGAGGACTTCTGTGAATGGCCAGGCAGTACTGACTACACTGGGCTGACCAAACCCCCAGTGTTCTTCCTCCTTACCTGGGAGCCAGAGCAGCAGGAGATTGAGGAGTTCCCCAGGGGTCTCATGTTCACTCTGCGTCCTGTCCGGGACGGGCCTGCATAGGCTGTGACCAGACTATGATGTCCAGGGCAGTGGGCTGAGCTCTGGGAAGATGTAAATCAGCAGGGGTGGGGCGGGGCGGGGCGGGGCGAAGCTGCAGGGCTGGCTGAGCTCAGTAACAGCTCAGGGGCAGGAAGTCCCCGGGTCTGGGTCCCACGGGGCAGCACACACTTGCCTCAGAGAATGACTTCTCCCTTGGGGTCACATGACACAGTCAGTCCACTCTCCTGTGAGACAGGGTTCTTTTTTTTTTTTTTAAACTGTTTACAATATGTTTATTTTTTTTTTCCATTGTTGAAAATAGTTCTTTTTTTTTTTTTTTTTTTTTACATGTATTCCCCATCCCGGTCCCCCCTCCCACCTCCCTCTCCACCCAATCCCTCTGGGTCTTCCCAGTGCACCAGGCCCGAGCACTTGTCTCATGCACCCAACCTGGGCTGGTGAACTGTTTCACCCTAGATAATATACGTGTTTCAATGCTGTTCTCTTGAAACATCCCACCCTCGCCTTCTCCCAGAGTTACAGGGTTCTTTTGACTTCGTCAGGATCCATGACATGCTTTTCTTGCTCTCTCTCCTTCTAAGACAGGGTCTGTCAAGTAGGACACTCAAAAGAATTATGCAGGTTCCTTTTATTTGGTGCCAGTGGATATTACTGTGGCCACAGAAGCTTCTGCTTTCTTTGGCTTCCCTGATATTCTTGGTGAGAGAAATTGTCATCACAACCAGTCAGAGATGCAATGAGGTAGAAGAACAAAAAAATGTGCATGTCATGACTGGTCAGAAGCTTCCAGATACTGAGCACCTCCATCACACTCTGTCGTCTCCAGCTAAGCTCTGTGACTTCCATATGCATGCTCTGTCTTAACATTTTCTTAATCCCACAGACAAGAAAAGCTTTTTTTTCCTAGAAAAGTATAGAATGTTAAAGCTAAAGTTTATGGAAGTATATATTGAGCTACCCTAGAAACACAGGTTGAACACATTAAAAATGCTCTGCTAAAACTGGGTGTGGGACATATATGTGTGTGTGTGGTTGTGTGTGTGTGTATAGTCAAAGGCATTTATCCTCATCACTAACCTTATGTGTTTATGTGGCTTCATGCTTCAGGAAACATGGTGAATTAAAAGACAACTATCCTTGATTGAAAGATGACTTGCATATCTGGCAATTAATGACTCTAGAACTGGGTCATTTGTACTGTTTTGGATGAACATAGAATCTGTCATAAAGAGTGAGTTATCAAATCAGAAAGAGAAAAAAAAATATTGTATATTAACACATATATGTGGAATCTAGAAAAAATGGTACTGATGACTCTATTTGCAGGGCAGGAATAGAGACACAGATGTAGAAAATGGACTGGTGATACAACAGGGAGAGGACTGGGTGGGATGAATTAAGAGAGTGGCACTGACAAATTCAAAACCATGAGAGCAGATAGCTAGTGGGAAGCTGCTGTACTGTGTGGGGAGCTCAGCTCAGAGCTCTGTGATGACTTAGAGGGGTGGGATGGGGGTGGGCGTGGGAGAGAAGCTCGAGTGGGAGGCATTAAATGTAGACTTTTCACTGATTCATGTTGTTCACAGCAGAAGCTAATACAACATTGTAAAGCAATTACAATCCAATTAAAATATAAATTTTTTAAAATCCCATCTTTGTTAATTACATTGATTCACTTCAGAACTATCAAATGGTATTCAGAGAACCACAACCCTGTCTTCAGCAAGTTGCACATGAAGCCATGTGACTAGGTGACAACAGTGTCCTTGCCTCTTGCAGAAGTTTTAGCTGTGTGCTATTGTACTATATAATCAGCTCCTTTTATTAATCAGATTATCTGACTAGAGTCTCCACTTGCTATCTGGGTGATCTTACACACATTTCATAACCTCTTCCTGCCTCTGGGTTTTCAGCTGGAAGATGGGAGTAAAATACACTTCTTATACCAAGACTTAGTTTGATTTCAAGGCACACAATAAGCATTCCATAAATATTGCAGCCATTCTTAACTTTGCTGTTGTAAAACTTATAATTAATAATGAAACTTGTAAAACAATTATGGTAAATCAGAAACTATGTTGCTCCCATTGGGGCTGCAGTCTAATTCATCATGTGGTGATGGATTTGGGGTCTTACTTTGACAAACAGAATGCGGTTCCAGGAATATTGTGCCAGCTCTGGAGTCCAGGCCTCAAGCACCCTTCAGCTTCCACCTTCCCTCTTGAATTGTAAGAATCACCCTGAAGTTTCCACCTTCCCTCTTGAACTGTAAGAGCATTGATCTAGCCTACTAGAGGATGAGAGGCTGCATGGAAGAGAGCTAAGGCTCCAGCCAACAGCAAGCACTGACCACTGTTGACTTAAAAAAAATAGTCACAACCTAAAAGTTGAGAGTTATGTCTTATTCAGTGGAAATTTTTAGGATTTAAGCCCGGGAGACAGCATCACAAGTAACCCTGAGAGAGTTGTTCTGAGGGAGCAAGGGGAGGACCCAGGTTATATAGAAGTTTTGCAACAAAAGGCATGTAGTTTGAACATCAAGAGATTATTGTTAATTAAACAGATATCACAGGTTAATTTAAAAAACATAGATATACCAAGTTAAAGAATTTAGGGCTTTTCTATACATGGGAAGATGCAAGAGTCTGGGCTCATTGAAATCATTCCTATCATATGCATCTCAGCTATCCTGGGCAGGTATCTTGTGTTTTTCCACATCCTGAGTGTCCTTGGGGCTCGCCATAGGGAGTGGCTGCAGCCTGACGGGATTGCGATCACAGGTATTCTTTTTTTTTTTCATAGGTATTCTCTTTTCTGAGTGTCCTTAGGACTCACCAACTCACATTGGAGGGCTGGAATCACTGATGACTGTGACATCCTTGCTTACTGATATGACTGGAAATACTCCATTTCTCACCACTAAATATGTAGTCAGTGAACCAAGATTACTGCTCTGAGAGCACCAGCTCTCCAGGGAACAGAACGGGCTCTGTGGGAGATGGCTGCTGCTGCTGCTTTTAAGTTGCTTCAGTCATGTCTGACTCTGTGTGACCCTATAGACGGCAGCCCACCAGGCTCCACCATCCCTGGGATTCCCCAGGCAAGAACACTGGAGTGGGTTGCCATTTCCTTCTCCAATGTATGAAAGTGAAAAGCGAAAGTGAAGTCACTCAATCGTGTCTGACTCTTCACAATCCCATTGACTGCAGCCCACCAGCCTCCTCTGTCCATGGGATTTTCCAGGCAAGAATACTGGAGTGGGTTGCCATTGCCTTCTCCACTGTGGAAGATGGAGCGGAGGGTAAAGGCCGGGTTCACACATGGTTCTGTGGTCTGGTGACAGCTCTTCAGCATTTATCCCTTTCTTGATAGGAAATGCCCCACACACTGGGAACTGAGAGTCTCATCCATCTGAATTTAGCATCCAAAGGAGTTGGGCTTTTTCCAAAGCTGGGAAAAACCCTAGAGAACAGAAGCATAAAGAAAGGAGTTCAGTCTGACCCTTGGAGCTCACTCTGATTCTTGTGGGAGTCTCACCCCTGACTCTGGGGATGAGAGGAAGAAGGGTCTTGTATGCTCTGGGCTTCCCAGGTAGTGCTAATGGTAAAGAACTCACCTGCCAATGCTGAGTGAACATGCCTTCTCTAAGCATGTGCCTTGCTGGCTGTGCACCATGAATGCCACTTTTCTCTTTTAATGTTTAGCAGTGAGTGCGGACATCATCCTGAAATAGACGCCCAGATACCAGCATCTCCAGGACAGAGAGTCACCCATTTCCTATCAAGCCAGTGTTGATGTACACAGAGCAATATCTGGGTCTGAACAAAACTTGGGCAAAGGTTTGAGCCTCTTATATCTCACATCTCTACCTTGGCCCCTGAGAGATGCAGGCATAAGAGACATAAGAGATGCAGATTTTATCCCTGGGTTGGGAAGATTCCCTGGAGTGGGGCAAGGCAACCTACTCCAGTATTCTTGCCTGGAGAATCCCATGGACAGAGGAGCCTGGCCGGTTACAGTCCACAGGGTTGCAAAGAGTTGGACACAATTGAATCAGTTTAGCACACACATGGTGCTCTAAGGAAATGGGAAGGAGCATGAGGAAACTACTGAGAAGCAGTTTCCCTAGAAATCCAGACCCTAAAGCAGTAGGATTTTTTTTGCAGACTGCACCATCATGATTTGGCCACCTATAGTCAGGCATGCCCGCTTCATGGAACACAGCCTTGTTATGGCAAAAGGGCTTGAGTAACTCAATGAAGCTATAAGCTATGTCGTGCTACCTGATGTGAAAAGCTGACTCACTGGAAAAGATCTTGATGATGGGAAAAGGAGAAAGGGGCAACAGAGGATGAGACAGTTGGATAGCATCACTGACTCAGTGGACATGAACCTGAGCAAACTTGGGGAAATTGTGGAGGAAGAGGAGCCTGACATGCTACAGTCCATGAGGTCACAAAGAATGTGACACGACTTAGCAGCTTAACAGCAACAGTCATACATGCAGTAATACTCCCCAGAATACCTGGGCTCTAAGGTGCTGATGCTAAACACATAGTGAGTTCACTTCCCCTTCTGCCGTGTTGGGTTGGGAAAGCAGGGGCCAAGGTAGAGATGTGAGATATTTGAGGCTCAAACCTTTGTCCAAGTTTTGTTCAGATCCAGATATTTCTCTGTGTACATTAACACTGGCTTGATAGGATATGGTGACTCTTTGTCCTGGAGATGCTGGTATCTGGGCATCTAGGTCAGGATGATGTCCACACTCGCTGCTAAACACTGAAAGAGAAAAGTGGCATTGATGGTGCACAGCTTGCAGGGCACATGCTTGGAGCATGCACATTCACTCAGGAGAGAGGATTTTGGAACTTCCCTGGTGGTACAGTGGTTAAGACTCTGCCTGCCAAAGAAAGGGACATGGGTTCCATCCCTGGTCTGGGAACATTCCACATGCCACAGGGAAACTAAGCCCATGCATCACAACTACTGAAGCTCGTGCTCTAGAGCCCTCAAGCCACAACTACTGAGCCCTTATGCTGCAACTACTGAAGCCGGTACACCTAGAGCCTGTGCTCTGCAACAAGAAAAGCCACTGCAATGAGAAGCCCTCACACAGCAAGGAAGAGTAGCCCCTGCTAGCCACAATTAGAGAAAGCCCACCCACAGCAACAAAAGACCCAGCACAACCAAAATTAAATAAGTAGAAAAGAGAGAGGGTTTCCTCCACACCACCTCCCCACTGACTGCTCTCCAGAAAGCCAGACTTCAGGGGAGCTGTACCTGAGTCTGCTGTAACATGCTGGTAAGAAGTTACTCAGAACCTGGGGAGTGTGCCTGGGACCTACAGAAAGAGACTGGGCAGGTGGGATGCTGGTATAACCGAGGGAGTGGGGCGATGCAAAAAGAGGATACCAAGGAAAGGAATCAAATAGTCCTATGAGGTTGTGGGGCATCTGATCTTAGATGGGGGCTGGAACACTTGTAAAAAAAAAAAAGCCCAAATATTTAAGATGAAACTTTTTTATCCTTTGATGTAACCACACCTGGAGAAAAAGATAAGAACCTGTGATAGTTTTCCTCTTAGCTAGCCTAGAATCCCACAAGATATTAGATTTCATCAGATGAAGAGCAGACTGACTATAAGTGAGAAACTCTTGAAGCTTAGAAGATGTCAGTGTGTGCCTGCTAAATAGCTTCAGTTGTGTCGTACTGTGTGTGACCTGCCAGGCTCCTCTGTCCATAGGGTTCTCCAGGCAAGATACTGAAGTGGGTTGCTGTGTCCTCCTCCAGGGGATCTTCCCGACCCAAGGATTGAACCTGGGTCTCCGACATCTCCTGCTTTGACAGGTAGGTTCTTTAACACTAGCACTACCTGGGAAGCCCCAGAAGATGTCAGTATACTTGGTATAAACTTTTCAAGAATTCCAATACCCATCTGTTATTTTACCCTATCGATCACCAACCCATCTGCTTTCTAAATGGGGGTCTCACTTTCAGGGTTCCACACAGCTTTGGGTGAAGACTACTTCATCCAGAGAGGTCCACCCAACCTCAACTGAGGGACCAGAAAACCACTGTTTTGGGGACCATGTGGGCACATCAATGAGGACGGGCCCCAGAGTTCAGGACAGGCAGTTGGATCCACTGATGAAATGAGCTTCTTGGTGAGAGCCAATTTCAGTCCCCGTGGCTCCTGGATCAGTGGTCCCCACCCTGAGGCTCCTAAGGCTGTGGATGTAGGTCTGAGGTCTAAGTTCTTTCTTCCCAAATGCATGGTCCCTCTCAGAACTCACTCTGGACTCCTCCATGTTCTGAATCCTGAATCCAGAACCACCATCCTGCTTTCTATCCCAGGAATCCGGCACTGACTGCCTGGAAGTTTTTCTTTGTAAATTCTCAAAACGGCACCCTGATAGGAAATGGCAGGATGAGTCAGCATCTTCTCTCAAAAACAACTGAGAATGAAGGGAAAACCTGCAAACATGATTTTGGTGTTGAGGAGAACTGTGTAACCCACAGAGTTGGTCTTTTCCAACTTTTCCTGTTTCTTGACCATAATTCTATTTGAATGACCCCTAGAGGATAGAGAGATTAAAGAGGTTGTTCCATACTAATGATAAAAACAGGGAAGTGAAGATAGAGAAAGAATAGAATTCAGGAACTCTTTGAAGTGGTTTAATTTCTCCATCCATGGGCATAGCATAACTAAGATGCTAGGGACCATATGACTTATGGTTTTCTGCCTTCAAGCCTCTGATACCCCACCTACACAGGCTTCCCTGATGGCTTAGACAGTGAAGAATCCACCTGCAATGCAGGAGACCCGGGTTCAATTTCTAGGTCGGGAAGATCCTCTGGAGAAGGAAATGGCAACCCACTCCAGTATTCTTGCCTAGAGAATTCCAAGGATAGAGAAGCCTGGCAGGCTACAGTCCACGGGGTCACAAAGAGTTGGACACGACTGAGTGACTAACTCACACATCCTGCTGCCCTGGGTTCCACGTGAAGAAGGAGAGAATGGAAGATTCTAAGGGAAGAGGGAGTGCTCCCAGCCATTCTCTCATCTCAGAAGAAGCCCGTCCCTCCCCCATTGCTCCTCCAGATCACCCCTATTCATTGTCCCCCTTTTTTGTTGCAACATCTTCAACCTTCCCCTCACTGACCTCTCCTCCTAAGCTAACAAAGCTGCACAAATATCAGCTTATTTTCCTTGGATTTGTGATTCCCTGTCGCTATCACACTTTTCTTTCTTTCTCTCACTTTTCTAAATTAAGAGCATTACTCAATGACACTAATTACCGAGAAATGCAAATAAAAACTAAAATGAGGTATCACCTCAGACGTCAGCATGGCCATTATCCAAACATTTACAAACAAGAGACGCTGGAGAGGCTATGGAGAAAAGGAAACCTGCTTACTCTGCTGATGGGAATGTAAATTGGTGCAGTCGCCAGGGAGAAGAGTATGGTGGTAGCGGTTTAGTCACTAAGTCCTGTCTGGCTCTTGTCACCCCTCAGGCTGTTGCCCACCAGGCTCCTCTGTCCATGGGAATTCCCAGGCAAGAAAACTGGAGTGGGTTGCCATTTCCTTCTCCAGGGGATCTTCCCAACCCAGGGACTGAACCCACATCCCCTACAGCTCATGTATTGGCAGGTGAATTCTTTACCACTATTCCACTTATACTGGAAAAAAAAAAAAAGAGCAATGCTTTGAAAGAGTTGCCTGCACTCCCTGCCTCCACTTCCTCAGCATCCTCTCATTCCTCAATCCACTACTGACTGCCACCCTTGTCACTTCACTGAAACTGCAAAAGCACCATGGCAAATCTTCAATGGCCGTGCAATCGCCAACTCCAACGTCTTAACCCTTCTCATACCTGCTCCACCTGCAGCATCAAACACTTGTTCATGTTACAATGCTTCCCTTTTTCTTTGTGTGATTCTCTTCTCTCTTAACTCTTCTCCTTCCTCTCTGATGGGTCTTTCTTTTACTAACTACATTTTTCTTCCCTCTCTTTAAATGTTGGTGTGTGTGGAATCTCTCACTGAGTCTCTTTCTTTGTTCCTTGGCCCAGTGAGTTTGCATATATGAAAGCTTCACTAAATGCAGAGTGTGCTTATGATCAGGCAAAGGGTCCACCTGGAACTAAGGGTAGGAACCTGAGTCCCTAATCCTCCAAAATGAACCTCAGTCCTGCTGATCCCAGGGAAACTGTGGCCTGGGAAAGTCTCCCATTATGACTTATTAATACCCAATAGAAGTGATCTTTGTGAAGAATAAGATTATTGAAGTGGGACCCTGGTCCTATAGAATCTTATCTTGCCGGAAGTTACATGAGGTTTTCAAAGTTTAAAGGTATTAAGATGGAACTTCTCTGGTGGTCCAGTGGTTAGGAATCCACCTTCCCGTGCAGGGGATGTGGGTTCCATTCCTGGCCGGGGAACTAAGATCCCACATGCTGCAGGGCAACTGAGCCTGCTGGCTGCCATGAAGACCCAGTGCAACCAAATTTTTTTTTTAATTTTAAAAAGGTATGGAAAAGACCCAGATGCAGGGAAAGATTGAGGTCAAGAGGAAAGGGGGGAGACAGAGGATGAGATGGTTGGCTGTCATCACCAACTCAATGGACATGAGTTTGAGCAAACTCAAGGAGACAGTGAAGGATAGGGAAGCCTTGCATGCTGCCATTCACGGGGTTGCAGAGTCGAAATCGACTGATCGACTGAACAACAACAATGAGAAATGAATGCAGGACTCATTTTGTAAGACCCTGCTTCTCAGGAGCCCCTGCACTCCACGTGAGAAAGAGGCATCAAGAGCCCTGCTGAGATTTCCTCTTGGGGTGAGGGGAGGGGTTGGGGCTGGTGCTCAGGTCATTTTCCATGGGAAGGACCTAAGACTCGGTGGCAACACTGGTTTTCAGATTGTATGACAGTCTCTATACGATATCAGGAGAAGAAACTTGAGTCGAGGGAGGTCGGGGGTGGGGGTGTATCTGGGAAAATTGTACTATGCATATTTGCAGGTGGCAGATATTAATATTTATACGATGTTCAGATTTCTCACAAGAAAGGACTCTAACGCCTACCCTCCTCTCTCAACACACACACACACACACACACACACACACACACACAAACACCACCAGGAGAAGGAAATGAGACAGAGTTGCAGCATCTGGAGTAGGGAGGGGCCAGCAGGCAGCATCAGTCACAACATCTAGAAACCAGAGTTCTATTCTCGGCTCCGTTCCTAACGTTTGTAAAGCCTTGCTCAAGTCACTTCCCTCCTGTGATTGCTCCTTTGTAAATGAGGAAACTGAAATATGCACTCTCTAGTATTCCTCCTACTTCATCTCATGATTCTATAAATTAAACTTCAGCTCTAGTGTTTGGAGAAACGGCATTTAACCACTTTGGCCACTAGAGGGAGATATACGATCGTTACAAAAACAGGTTTTTATTTTTATTTATTTTTATTTTCTATTTGGTCACAAGAAGGTGCTATTACTGCCCTGCACTTCAAGGCAAAGAATTTCTTGGATTTTTTCCATTTTCTTCATCATGTAATTATCAGAGAGAGTCACCTTTCAATTTAACAAAAATTTATCAACAAAATCTACAGAACACACTTGAGAAAGAATGTTCAAAAATAATTTCTTTAAGCCTTGTATTGCCTAATTATGACTACAACATTTTTAAAGTATTACTTATATGACTTTCATTTAAAAATATTATAAATCTGCATATTCTGTTTATCTTTGCATTATTTATATTAGGGAAAAATTAGATATTAACCAAGAATTCAAAAATAGGATGGTGGGGTCAAGCATACAGTTCTTTGTAATAGTCACTAAAACTGAAAATAGTAACTAAAAGTAATGACATAAGAGAAATATATAATGTTGAATGAAAAAAATCAAGATAATTTTAAACTTGTTATTACATTTCATTCTTGACTATAAACACACAAAGATAGGGAAAAAAATCAACCAAAATTTCAGAGAGTTTATCCTTGTTAAGCAAATTATCAACTGTTGTTATTTTTCTCTTTCTAATGTTACATAATTTTCAGACTTTTCAGTATGGACTTGTATTACTTTTGTATTTTAAAACAAAAATGAAAAAACAAAAAACGGCCATGAACTTTTTCCAGTAGATTTAACTGATCAACCATATCTGTATTTCTGATGTTAGCAAACACTGAAATCACCCTTGGCACCATCCATTTCTTGGCTTTACTTTAAAAATACCTGTGATGGGGGCTTCCCTTGTGGATCAGTGGTAAAGAATCAACCTGCCAGTGAAGGAGACACAGGTTCGATCCCTGGTCCAGGAAGATCCCTGACAAGGAGCAACTGAGCCCATTTGCTGCGACTCCTGAAGCCCTTGTGCTACAGCCCAGGCTCCACAACAAGAGAAGCCTCCGAAGCGGGCACTGCAGCTAGAGAAAAGCCCGGGCAGCCACAAAGACCTACCACAGCCGAACATAAAAAATAACAACAATTTTTAAAAGTGCCTGCGATGAAAGTCGTCTTCTCTCATATATCCTACAATATATGTGGTTAGTTCTGATTATGACAACATTCTGGATACAAAGTCAAACTCTGCCTTTTTGAATGTCCATCCATCACTTTGACTCTACCCTCTGTTGCAAAGCCCGTGAAAGGACTTCACAAGCTTAGGGCGAGCTTACATGAACCCACTGTCCTGCAAGGTTTCTCTTGTCCAAGCTGAATAACCACCATTGATAACCTTCGCTGTGTTAATATTAAGGGTCAGAAGTTGTGCCAGGTCATGACATTAAGCAATGAGCAGAGCTCAGGGTCTAACACAATAAACCACCAACCAGCTGTGTTCCTGGCAGCGTCATGTTCTGTGATAGGAGTGAGCAGGGACCCCAGGCAGAGCGTGGAAAGATGTCCCCCTGGACTTTGGAGGTGAGGAAGGCTGCTCCCAAGAAACAGCTTCTCAACTGAGAAGTGAGAAGAGTGAGACAGGAAAACAGTAAGAGGCCGGCTGTGGGGAGGAGAGCTCTAGGGATGCTGAGGAGGGTGTGCAGGGACCCAGAGGGGAGACGGCTGGGGCTTTGGGAGAACGTACTTCTCTATCCCCAGTCTTTATGAAGCCTCTGCTTGCTCAGGGTTACCCTATCTTACAAGCTATTTGAGGATAAAGATTGTTTTATTAAAAATTTTATTCTCTCTTTTGTCTGTCCTAAACATCCAGCCCGGTGCATGAAACATAGGAAACAAAAATGGATTTCTGCTGGTTGAGTGAATAAGTAAACATGCTAACACTCACACCATCTGATAAACACAGAGTAGCACAGAGTCAAAATAGGGGTCTCCAATTTTTGGGGGGAGGTCTTCAATTTTTAAATATTTTGTTTGATATAGAGATCAATACATAGTGATCCTTTAGACCTTTGAGATGCTGTAAAAGGTACAGTCATCCGCATGGACTGTTTTCACCCATTAATTCACTATTGATTTCAGATTGTCCCATCATGTAATTCTCTATCTTTTTATCTTTTCTTTCTTCCATTTCAGTGTATTTACTTCTATGCAGCAGGGAAAGGAATGCATGATGTAAACTTCACAAGGGTTCCCAGATGCCCAGCTCCTCTCTCTCGAGTCAGCCACTGCTTCTAGTTTCGTGAGTATCCTGAAAAGAGCCTGTGTCTCTGCAAACATATATGCATGTGTACTTTCTGTCCACAAATAGTAGCAGAGGAGGCCAAGTGTGCCATGCAAAAATTTGAAGCAGCTGGGAAAACAGGTGAGTTGTAAGTTCCACGTGTACAAGGCAGTTTCCACAGGGATGGACCCAGCAAAGCTAAGGGAACAGATGCAATCAACAGTGAATGAAGGGTAGAGAGCATTCACTCTGGGTGTATTCCTCCTGAATGTGGGACAGATAAAGGGCTTTCTTGTTTGACAGATGCCAAACAGCTTTGTGTTCAACAACGGTGATGGAAACTTTCACTCTGGACCTAACTGTTTAACAGCCCAGGAGTTTTTCAGAAATTAACAATTAGAGACAGACAACGCAGTGATTTATCTTTTGAATTATATTTAACATTGCCACAA